CCTCGCAGCATTGAGGCCGGCCTCTGCCCCACCGGTATAAAGTACCGGTACAGCCTCACTTGGAGGCATCGACCTACCGGCACTATACCGGTACGGTATGGTACAGCGCGACACAGCGCTGGCGCTAAGATTAGCGCAGGAGCAGCGAGGATCAGCGCAGCGCAGATTAGCGCAGCAGCAGCGAGCGGAGCAGCAGCAGCGGCGACTGGGTTACCGGCGGCCATAGCCGCCTGAGGTACTGGGAGTTGGAGGCTTCTCTCCTCCCTCCCATCACTGGTCCCCTCTCTCTCTCTCTCCTCCTCGACTCCTTCTTCTTCTTCTTCTTCTTCTTCTTCTTCTTCTTCTTCAGATGGAAGACTTATGCTAGTTGGACAGAGATCAGAGTTGGACTTCGGTGGTATGAGCCTGTGGGACTTACCAGATTGGAGACTTGGAGATCGTTGGGGTTGATACTTGGCGACATCACAGTTCAGACACSGGTTACATTTGGACTCTGTATCCYCGACATTGGTGACCTATGGCCCTCGACATTTTGATCTTGTTGGATGACATTTTGGACTACCATATCGGTGACCTATCAGATTCTACCTCGGTGACTTTCGGTGCTGTCTACCTCCCCGCACCTCTTCGTCTCTCCTCCCCCATTTCATCTGTGTATGATGTGTACGGGGCTGAGCATCCTCTCTGTATGGCTCAGACCCCACCATCTCACGATTGTATGTGTGTGGAGTGATGCTATGTGAGTCAGTCTATGTGAGTCAGTCCGTTTATCAGACTTCCGTTGCATCTATACTCATCCTACATTGGTTGATTCTTGGTTCTGCCCATACTCATTGGAGTATGTAACAGTTTCTCTAGTCCTCCTGTCGGTGCGGTGGTTGCAATTGTTTGTTGGTGGTCCAATAGCATGCTCTTCAAGGGATCCCTGCTGCTCCCTGTGTCTGCGTTTGTTTTCAGTAAAGGAGGGTAACTCTAGATTAGATTAGAATCCACTGTCTGTTTTCGACTTTGTCTGTTCTGATGACTTTTTATGGTTCTGCATTGCAGCGATAGCCGACTTACATCAGGTCATTGTTGTGTTCGTTTTCTGCTGCGCTGTTGGCTATTGGGATCCAGGGAGGCTATCTATTATTCCAGCTGCGGAGGTTGTTTGTGGTGACATTGTTGAAGTCAGTGGTGAGTGAATCCTCTTGCAGCGTTGTTGGTTGCTTACGCTTGAAACTCTCATTTTAACGGCTATCTTGCAGTGGTTGTTTGTGGTGACATGTTCACCCGAACAGAACGCATGGTCATTGTGGCTGTATGTGGACTAAAATTTGACACAGATACAGCTATAATGACTGGGCATTCTATTCGGGTGAAGACAGTAATTAACTCGCCTGACTCACTTGTTATATGCCCAGTTGGGCGATGTACATATATAACCGAGGATCCGCAATGTGATGAAAAGGACTGAATGGACAATGCAGTGCTAGTGAAATCTCAACCAGCAGTGTACATCCTGATACATACAAAAATGGTGCTTTATAGCGCAGTGGAAGACTTAGATACAAGTCCTGACCTGACCGCGACTGACCTCTCTTACGTAGTACAAGACAGCGTAGCGAAATGCTAGAATACCAACGACTAGCCCAATCAGTGTCTCAATGCAGATCAAACATACATCATCCTTATCACAAGGTGTGAAGGGGCCTGGCGCTACACACAGGAAGAATGCTCCAGGTCCACATCATGCACAGACGAAGAGGAGGGAATCAGACGAAGAAGGGGGGGGGGAGATGGGAATGTCGTCAACACCAAGTCTTCGTTACAAGTCCCAAATAACCCCTCGTCAAATGTCTGAACACCAATCCAGCTCTCTCGTAGTCTGCTGATGCAGTGAAGTCAGGTGCGAGAGGGTGAGAGGAAGATGGTGGACTGAGAAAAGGAAGAAGAAAAACTCTCTCTCTCTCTCTCTCTCTCTCTCTCTCTCTCTCTCTCTCTCTCTCTCTCTCTCTCT